TATTATTAGATATGTTATTATAAAACATGCTTTAGTTAAGGAGTTATTGATACTTCAAGTGCAAAATGATGATATAAAACCATGATAAAATTGCACTTTTAAGTACTAATCAGACAGCACAAGTGCTAGGTAAGAGTTAATCTAACACTCATCTTTTTTTTCATAATGCAGTTTTAAATGTTAGTCAATGTTAAATATGAAAAGGGTTATTTATGTCTATATTGAGAATGATGTTTTGAAATTGATTAGCAATTGGAGTGGTGCTAGAGCTGTTAGTGAATCTAATGATCAAGATTAAAATTAACTAGTACCTTGAGTGATACTAAAAGCAACAATAAATCTTATAACCGGGTCTAAAATTGACTAGTATCTTGGATAGTTTTAGAGACATTAAAGAATTTGACGACCGAGATTAAATAAAATTAACCAGTACCTAGATAGTGCTAGAAATATCAGGATGTCTAATTACTGGAATGATATATTATTTAATGTTTAAATTAAAAAAATAGTAAATAAAAATATTGTGTAAACACCTAAAAATATCTAATTAAATAAAGAATTTATCTTCATGAAATGTTATTAAAAAAAATGAAAAATAATAAGAATAATAATTAAATAGATATAATTTCTTCTTATTATAATAGTCGTTAAATAATTAAGTTTTGATTTCAGGATCTTCTCACATTTATACCGAGTAATAGATTATTTTTGTATTTAGCAGTTATTAAAGTTATAATAGAAATTTTTGTAAACTTTCCATGTATTATAATTTTAAAAGTACTCTTTAATATGCTTTTGAATTTTGATAAAGTGAAGTATCATGTATATATATATATATAAGCTTAATATTAGGGGTAATTTGATCTTTTTCATAAGATCCATTAGTTATTATGGGATTGATAAGAGGTAATTTGATTTTTTTTATTTTTTAAATGCATAATGTAAAGACTATATTACTTTAAAAGTAAAAGTTGTTAAAAGATCGATCAGAGATAATTATGTATTTTTTTTATGCATAATATAAAAACTATATTACTCTTACAAGACAAAATTATTAAAAGGTTGACAAAAAATTGTTCAATCTCATTACATTTTCGAAGCACATTGTAAAGTCAATATTATCCTTAAAAGAAAAATTTAGCATGCTTGCATCCAATGATTTTTTTTTTTAAATGATTTTTTTAGTGATTAACAAATTGATTAAGAGCAACTTGGTCTTTTAACGGTCTTGAATATTATTTTTTAAAAAAACAATATTAACACATGTAATGTACACGACATCAAGTTGGTGCCACTTATACCCTTTCAAATAGTGAATATAACACTTTATATGGCAATGTTTGAAGTGTCTTGTCATGAGTTTTCTGTTAAGACTACTTGCGCACATGGAGGAGCGATGATTGAGTTCTGGTGAATTTTTTTATTTTGCTCTCTTTTTTCTCCTTTTCTAGTTAAAATATAAGAATATCTTTTTATTTGTTTTTATATTTAATTTGATTCTTATTTTTTTTATTGATATTTAGTCTTTTCTTCCTTCTCCTAATTAAGTTTATTTTCAATGTTATCTATTAGCATTTGATTTCAAATTTCTTACATAAATCTTAATCCCTATTATTTTATTATTATTTCTTTTGTATCTATTGGATCTTTTATGTTGTATTTTATTTCAATTTTCTCTCTTATTATTTCATTGATTTAGAATTATTTTGCATTGTATTTGAAAATTTGCTTTCTATGAGGTTGGTTTTAGCCTAATTAATTTTAGTCATTTTGCTTTATTATTATTTTACATTTAATTTATTAAAAATTGTCTTCGTATTTTTTTCACTTTCCTTTCTAAAGAATTATTCTAATTTTATACATAAGATCACAGGGTTAGCAAGTTAACCCAGATTGACTCAAGTTTTTTTATTTTCTTAATTAAATATTTTTTTGCAGATTTACCTTTAAACATTGAGTAGTTTGATAATTAAGTTTTATGATATTGTTCAATTTATTTTCAACGAGTTTTATTTTTTTATTGGTTGATAATTTTTTGTTAATTTTTTTAATATTATTATATTTTTTATTTATATTATTTAAATTAGATAAACTTACTAAATTACTGATAAGGAAATGAGTGTAGATTTTTTTTATAAACACTTATATCATTTTATCATTTATTTTAAAGTTGAAAAAAATTACGTAGGCCCGCAGCTTAGTGCGGGCCCTATCTCTGGTTGATAGCTAAAGATTTTGAACAGCCTCTCCATTACATGCAAGCAGACTAGCATAGTACTGCACTCTGCAAAGGAAGAACAAAGTTGCCACCGTAGAAGGAAGTGATTGAGAAAAAAAAAAAAAAGATCATATATTAGCTGTAGGCTTGGGGCTCAGATTGGTTAAAAAACTAAAAGGAAAGCATAGAGAAGGTGCTTCGAATATAAAATTCTTCATTTGTGAGAACAACTCTGAAAGAATCGAAGCAACAATTTATGGCTAATTTTCTAATTTGGCAAAGTCGAGAGCGTAAGGTTTGGGATACTAATAGACGCCTGTTGAAGCATCCATTTTATTACTTCGAGGATTTATTTATTATTGTTAAGCAAGAGAGAATTATCATCAATCTATCATAAACTTCAGAAATTTTGTATGTCAGCATTATGCTGCTGTGGATCCAAAAAATTTAAAATGTAAAAACAATTTTCGGATCTCAAGGAATTTTTTGGCATTATTCAAGACACTGATATTTAGCTACGACTGATAATCACCCAGGAAAGCGCACATTCAACCTTCGTAGCCAGATTGAATGAATAATCATATGGAAGACATCATATCTTCTGGGAGGATTATTCACCACAAAATGTCTTTGCACTTGCTTCACTCTCTCCTGCATTCTCAAATATTGATCTTCAGGTATCCCCTCTAAAATGTTCTTCAGGTTTGGTATTTCAGTGACTGGAACTTGAATGGTGAATGAGTCCCAATTAAGAACATCACTGAAAGGAAAGATATAATGCTGTGATATTAAGACTGGAACACATTCTGCATAAATTGCCTCAGCAATTCTTGGACTAGCAACTTCATGCCCACTTGGGCAAATGCAATATTTGCTCTTCGTCATCATCTCATGATACGAAATTCCCTGTGGTAGTGTCTCGTAAACTTGAACGTCTTTGTCCTTTCCCATCCAATGCTGAAGAAGTGCTGGTCTGAGTTTCCCGTGCATTTTACCTGCAAAGAATGCTAGGACTGTACGGTTAGATGGGGGTAAGCCACCGGTCAGGCCCGTGATTTCCCCTGTTTTCAGATTGATCTCTGGAAATGATGCATCTTTCTTTGGATTAAAATACTCTGAGGTATTTGCGTTGCACAGGACCCTGATGGAATTGTAGTAGAGTTGACGAACATACCAAGTAGCACGAGGCCCCTGGGACCAACAAAATATCGAGGATGAACAATGTCACAAGAAATGACTTCTGAATAGTAAACACATGATTAGTGGAAAGGATGCAGTTGGTTTTTTTACCCAATCATGACATGAAAGCATGAAATGATCAGCTCCAAGGCTTCGATTCCAGTACAGATACTTATGAGAGATGATGCGGACATAATCAGAAACAGTACGTTCCAGAACAGCTTTATCGCGAATAATTGGATGAAAGAGGTGCTCAATGATCATCACAACACTAAAAGGAAGAAAATAGACATGAGCTTCATCAGGATTCGAGGTCCGGAACTTGGTATTTGTTTCCATTAAGCTGAGGAACACTCCTTCCATGGAGTATATGTCCTTGCAGGTGCCATAATGAAATAAAGGAGGCTCTCCCTCTTCGTAGACAAAGATTTTGAACAACTTCTCCATTAAAAGGTAACTCCTGCATGCATGGTTGTGGAAGTGTGATTGTACCATTTCGATATAAACTTTTTGAAGCAATTACTGCCATGATGTACAGTTTTACTCAATGAATTTCATATATCTTACCGGTGTAATTAAAAATAATAATAATAATGACATCATAAGTTTCTCACAAATACACAGATAAAATCAAAGCCAAAGCCAAGGAAAAATACCTCCCGAGGAGATTCTGAAAGTTAGTACTGAGCAGGTTGAGGCTTTTTTTACAAATTGATTGAAGTTATTTTCTAACCTTCGACTAAAAGGAAAAATAAGTGTGTTCGTGATGATGAGTAATTAACAGATCAAAAGTTGATTACCTGTGGAAGGCACATGCATTCCTATATATGTAACCTCGAGGAATATAATCAAGATCATCATGAAGACTTGATGTGCAGTTGCTGTCCTCTGCAGCTTCTCTTATCAAAGCTCTAGCCATGGCAAGACCTGCTTCAACTCTCTCTAATTTTGCATCACTTCGATTTCCACCTCTCATCAAAACATATTTTTCTTTAGAAACCTTTCCTACATTCATCAACGTCTTTCGCTTTCCTTGATCCTGCATAAGAAAAGACAGAAACATGGGTTGGTCCTGTAGCAAGTTAATCCCATAATGTGAGAAAAGAAGAACAAAGTTTCATACAATCATGAATACAGAGGAAGAAGACGTTGTCCCAAGATTGGTAATACCAGTCCATCCCCATTGAGATGAAAAGAAATGAAGCCATGTAAATCCATTAATGGAATTCTTTGTTAGAACCGCCACAGAAACTACAGCCAAGGAAGCTATGGCAATGACAAAAACATTTGAATGTTTCCTGCAGAAGTATGCCATTGATTTCTGCTCTCTCAATCTGTTGCCCGGTGGGATGTCCGCGTCATCGATCTATCCACTATTTTTGCCGCATTTTCCTTTAAAGTGAGATACGGTCAGCAATTTATCCGGTACCTGAATGAAACAGCTAGAGGTACAGGCATTAAGTTTTCAGACATTTTTCTGCTACAAATGAATAAAAAAATGAGCAGAATAAAGCAGTGTTTAGCTTGATTAAATGGTAAGTAGTCTACTAGTGCTCTTCAACAGTAAACTAAAAGGAAAGTATAGAAAAGATATGATGCACAGCTTTTTTAGGAAATTAGATATTTTATTTTATTTTATTTTATTTTCTATTTAATATTATTATTCTTTTAAAATGAAAATCTAATTAAAATGAATAGTTTTCCTAGTTTATTTTTTCTATTCAATATTAGTAAAAAAAAATTCCAAATTTTCTCTATGTAATAGCTTTTTAACATGTGAGACTTACAATAAAAATTAAATATTTTAGATGCTCCTTATAGTTATTGTGTTATTAATCCTTGAGAGTTTTGATTTGTAATAAGCTTTATCATCATTTATTTCTATTTATGTTAATTGGTATTTAAGTTTAATGATTCATAGTGGTTAGATGTTATGTATTATTGAATATGTAAATCTCTACATAAACATAGGACTAAAAATAATATAATCATGACGAGTAACATAACCGAAATGAAAAGGAATGGACAAATAATAATAATAATAATATAATAATAATAATAAATACAATGATAAATATAATGCATAAAGTAGGAATGACTAGATGACCTCGGAAATAAATAAGTATAGAAGCATTAGTAAGGTTAACAAATAGGGGCTTTGGATTTTTTTCTTTTGATGGATAAAAGAATTTAGAGAATTTAAAATAAATGTGTTATAAGAATGAGAAATATTTATAAGGATTCTTAATCCTATGATCCAAGGATGCTCTCGAAAGATGATGATATAAAAAAAAATCCGTAAACTATTTTTTATAGTTATATGCTAAAATATCAAGTCGGCTCATTTACCTCTTGATGTTTATTATTACAGGCTTATTGAATCTTCTATTTACTTTTTTTTCCTTGATTTAGTATTTTTATTTATATGAAATACAGCTTTACTAGTGTTTTTTTATTATTGGTTGATAGGAATTTTCCTGTTAAAATCTTATAAATTAATTGAAAACCTCATATTCATATAAAAATTGATTGAAAACCTCAGATTCATACTAGAACCATGATGATTCAATAAAACCTTCAAACTAACTAAGTACAAGGATTCCCTGAGTAAGAACTCTTGTATCATCACTTTGAATAAATATAATGACTAAAAATCCAAAGAAAGGTTTATCCTTTGATCAAAATAAACATAGACAAAGAGCTAGATGGAATAAAAATCTTTCAATTTAGAGTTTCTAACTCTTTGAAATTTTTTGAAGTCCGATCACCAGATTTGAATATTAAGTTAAGTATGAATCATAACTCTAATATTCTATAATCTATTTCATATACTGCATGCTCCAGATACTAGAGTCAAAAACCATCTCTATCAAGATAAGATGACAAACCCATTTTATATCTTATCAATAGGATCCAGTATAATAAGTCGCACACTCATATTCCAGAAATACAAAAAGAAAGAAATTCCACAATTGAACTACCAAAATAGAATAGCATAAAATGGGCTAAAAAAACGAGACCAAAATGCTTCACTTTGTATTGAAAAGCTAGAATTTAGTGATTCTTGTAAATCTAATTCATTGAAATTCCATCCAGTAAAACGAAAGAATTATAAATCTGCAAAATAATAGATAGGAATACTCCAAATAAAGCCTTTTCGACACCCATCAAAGGAGTAGTTCTCCACCCCGGAGCTACTTTACCATATTCTAAATCAATGGTTTCAATAAATCCCCTATAATAGTTCATCTTAGACAGGATCTAGAACTCCCCTTAATGCTTTGTGTAGCCATAAATTCTTTTTTGTATTAACTAAGATTTGTTGACTTTGTATACCATTCTGTGTAAATAAATGATCTTATCATAGATCCATTGTGGTCTGAAAATTATTTTTTTATTATTATTATATAATAATAAAAACAGCAACCCTAGTTGCCATCTCTATATCTGGTTTACTTGTAAGTTTTACTGGGTATGCCTTATATACCACGTATGGACAACCCTCTCAACAACTAAGAGATTTATTCAAGAAACACAGGGACTAGTTGAAGTAATGAGTACTAGTTGAAGTAATGAGCCCTCCAAGATTGGGAGAGTCATTACAGTCAATTAAGATAATGAAAAATCATTTCATCTTTTTAGTTAGAACTTTAGGCGGTTCTCAAAAGAAGAGCGAAAAGAATTATTTCTATAGTTGACACTAAGAGGAATGTATAAACTAATGATTCCATAGATTCAATCGTTGTTTACAATTATAGCTTCCATATCTGTTTATTTAGAGTGTTCCCAGATTAAAAAAGAGCAAGAGTCGAGATAAAAAAAGACTGCAATTCAAATCAAGACATCCCCAGTACCCTATGTCAAATTACAAAAAGAAAATAGAGATGAAAAATCAGAGATTAATGTTGTCTCAAACTACTTGTCTTCATGTAGCTGGATCTCCATGTTTTTTGGGAATGCTTCAAATTCCACCTAAGCATCTAAATCTGGATCAATACCAGCAAAAACATCTTTGAACAAGGTTCAACAGCCATGCCAAATATGTTTGAAGAAGAAGAGTAGGGCAAACAAAAGATGTCCAAAAGTAAACCAACCACTTGGACTACTACAAAAAACACCATCGTATTTCAAAGTAGCACGATCTCATTCAAAACTTTCACCTAACTGTGCGCATCTAGCATATTTTTTTATAATAGCAGGATCACAATAACTTACTCTATTTAGTTCACCATCATAGAACTCAACAGTTACACCTATTTGTTCAATACTATACTTTGATTCTGCACTTTGAAAAGGAACATCATCTTTAACAATTCCATCTCCATCTACCAAAACAACCGGAAATGTTTCAATAAAACAAGTACGCATATGACATACAAAAAGCTCACAAGCTTTTTTATCTCTAAATATAGGATGTCCTAACCACCCAATAGTTATTTTATCCCTATTATACATTGAACCTACTCTGAACAATCCATCATTTGCCAGATTATTTTCAATGTAATCATAAAAGGCTAATTTTTCAAGAATTTTAGACCAAGCTTCATATAAGCTTTGATTTTCAACCAGCCCAGTATCAATTCTTTGATATATTTCTTACTGGAAGTATCCTTGATCCTATTGATAACCAGTGGACCAAATAATTCAATAGGGGTAGTTGTTGAACCATCTCACATAGTTCCAACAGCAACAAAGCTATAAAAAAGATAACAACGATACTACTAGAAAGCACGATTTCAATATTTTCCATATGTAATCCCTTATATAGACGTTGGGGCGGATAGACACTAAGATAGAATAGGCCAGCCAATATGCCTAATGTCCTTTCTGTAATATGATGAGAGGCTATTCCTCTCGAAACAAAAGGATCAAAACCTTCTACACCCCAAGCTGGATTTACAAATTGTAATTTTTCGGTTAGCCTGCAAGGATCAAACACCCATATTCCAAGACCATACAATCCTGCTACATAAAAAGCATCAAACCCAAAACAAGTCACTCCTGAGATAAATAAATGAATTCCAAAGATCTTGAGCAAATTTAAAGAAGGTTTTCCTGTACATTCATCACAAAAAATCTCTAGATCCTAATACACCCTATGTTAGATAGTTGTCAAGAAGCATAAGCTAGAAAACACATTATACGTCTCAACCACACCTTCATAACTGCAAATACCCAGATTTGTTGTAGTTCCTCTTGTAATACTCCAATCACCCTATAATGGGCATGATGAATGAAATTTCAAAAATAATTTCATGTAAAAGTGTTGATGTATACCTGAATAAAAACCGATAACAAGTCTAAATGAAACAATTAGTAAAAAACAAAACTATACTTGGGATAAGAAAATAATCTCGATTATTTAGTAAAATAATTGTATAATTTATGCAAGGATTAAATAAGAAAATTTAGATTTCTTATGAAAATCATTAAAAATAAAAATATAAAAGACATTAAATAAAAGGAAAAATTATAAATAACCATAAAAATTAGCCTATAAAAGGTTGTTTCCAACAACCATGGCCGAACAAGAGAGAAATGAAGAGAAGGTGAGAGTTTTTCATATTTCTTTTAAAATCCTTGCAAAAATATCATCTAGACATGTAGATTGAAGGATTAAAGAGGTTGGAAAAAGATCATAACTAAGAAAATGAAGAAATTCCAAGAGCTTTGCGCGGGAGAGATGATAATTTGGAAGGAAAATTAGGAGGGAAGGAGAAAACTTGTATTCTTACCTTTTTCTTCTAAATTTCTTGTGTTTAAAAGGAATGAAGCTTTGATTCAAGCTTGGTTTAAGTTTATTTTGTGTATTGATGCATTTTAATTAATGTGTGAATTATGAAAAATTAAGTTTGAATGATTAATTATTAGAATAGGTAATATTGTGTTTAAATGACTCGTGATCATGAATAATGAATCAATCTTTTCAATTTGAAAAAAAAAAAAAAAGATGAAAAGAGAACTCAACCTATAATGATATACAGTGCATTAAAAGATTTGATAATATGATGATTTACTTTCATTTATTTCATGAATAATTGAATATAAAATGCTTCTTTTAGGAGAACAACTTTGAACTTTGAAAGAAGCGAAGCTTCGGCCCTTCTAGAGAATTGATATATTTATGAATTCAAGGAGTCATTTATATATTGATAGATAGGGTGATTATTAAAACAATTTTGGCAACCCTTTATGGCTAATTTTCTAATCTGGCAAACACGAGAGCGTCAAGTGTGGGAGATACTAATAGACTCATGTTAGTTGCATTGAAGCTTACATTTTATTACTTCGAGGATTTATTTATTTTTTATTTTG